CACTGCGACCACCAACCTTCTTCACTCTCCTATTCCTCCAGGACAGCCACATGGGAAAGCTCCTTAAATAATTATCCTGTCCGCCGTCACCTGTCCTTCGTCAGGACGGGTGAATCAGCTTGTGGGGACAGGCATGACCATGACGTTGATGGTATTCTCTCATCCATCCCCTTAGCCCACCAGCTTAGCCAACCTATAAACGAATTCCTCCTGCCCTCCCACTTTCTCCGTCGTCGCTCACATAACTCTTGCCACTAAATCACTTAATAAAACAATGACTCGTCCCGTGTCCAACTCGGCCTCTGCAGAGCTACCTGCTTGGCCTCGAATGTGCTTGTCCTCCACCCCTTTCTCATTTCAAGAAGCAATCCAGATAAGCTCTCACTCTCTCCAGACCTCTGCACATTATGCTCCTCCACCGTCGCCGAGGAGGGGATGGCATGATGAAGGTGCTTCTGTCTAAACAAATTAAAATTATGCTGACCCAAGCAAAAGGAAGGATCGACCAGTTTAGATTGTTGTTTGTAGAGTTTTACTCCTGCGACTGCCTTCTCTCCAACTTGAGGAGCTCATAAGAAACAAGTTTCAGCCAAGCAAAGTAATTCCACGTAGTTCTTCTTTCTTTCTCCTCTGCTGCAACATCATCAACGAGCCAGCAGTTGTGTCTCGGAGGACGTTCTCTCGATTTCTCTGTCTGTGGGAAACCATTACCATCGTCGGTGAGCAGGACGTGGTGAAATGATATTATTCTTGGTGGGTTGTGCTATACGTGGTGCTGCCCACACCGCCGGATGGAAATTATGGCTGAATTGTGAGCAAATATGACAAGGTTTCCAACTCAAACAGATAAGTATTTGCACCCACCCACCAAACCAACTCAGAGCCAGCAGGAGCAATACATGTGTACATGCTTTCTCCCTGCAAAAACGGGTTCTAAAAACAATGGCAGTGGAGCAGGCTGTGTGGCCACCACCAACGCCACCACTCAAGTTAAAGAGTTTTCGGAGAAAGTAGTTGGTCCGCACGTAAAAGATGAGCACTTTGTCTTTCCGAATTGGCGGTGCGACTGGGTGTGTGGCAGGCAGGACGACGGCATCACTTGAGAGAGTATCGTGCTGATAATGAATAGTGAACAAATACTAAAATAAAATAAATGGGAGGTTGGAATAATGTCCCAATTTTTACGAGCGGATTAAGGACAAGAGTGGATTTGTTTCAAGTTTTTACGCTCCTTTCTCCCCTGCACACGGGGAGCACGTTACACGAATTGAATTAGGAGGAGACCATTATTGCGGTTGTGGGGATCAGGGGGAATACATGAAATGTGATAATTCCTCCAATTTCTCGTATCACCCAACATTACCTGCCCCATGTGGTCCAGGCCACGCGGAGGACATGGGACGGCCCCGAGGATTTAGTGCAAAAAAACAATAACGGAAAATCCCACTCATTTCATGATACGTATTGCTTTCAAAAAGTTTGTACTTTGGTTCCTATTTTTTTGTAGCGACACACATGGCGAGTGACTGGGCGAGTTAGAGTGAGTTTTAAAGTTTAAAAGCTTTCTAGCCCTGCACTCTCCTCCGTCTTCTGTGGTTTGGTGGTGGTGGTTTGGCGACGCAAAGTGAAAGCCTCTCTCCTGCCAAGTCAGACTATCCTGGTTTATGGAGACACAAATCAAAATGACAGTTCCACACATAAACTATCATCCCAGCGGACACACCCACCCACTCAGCCACCCAAAAAAACATCCTCCCACGAGAGCAAACTTGCCTGTCTCCTTTTTTATGTGTGTCTGCGGTACACAATGGCACGGCTAATTGCCCCTGTTTATTCTACGACGGGATCAAGGCATCATGGGAGGTTACAATACCGTCCAAATTACAGACTTTCACTTCCGACACCCACCACCACGACCCGTTTCGAGCTCCTTTCCACAAATTTGCAGTCATTTATGTAGTTATTTTAAGAGGAGGGTATTTATAAGCATGGAGGAAGCATGTACGAATGTGCAGCAGATGTGGAGGATTTGCCCCTCTATCCAACCGTGTAGCGGATAAATCACCCCGATAATCTCGGGACACGACGAAATCCTCCCAAAATAAGCATCCACTCTGACAATTATTCCGCCCAAGGATTAAAAGGGGACAAATTATGTCTGGCCAGAGTGGAGAGTCTGGAGAGGAAGAAGAAGAAAGAGAGAGAGACGCAATAGGACAATTTGAGGTTTGGCTGGTGGGATGAGGAGTAAATAACACGATTCCAATGATGAACTAGGTAGGGTGCATGACGGGCGGAATGCATGCGTCACGCGTTTACACCAACGAGATAATAAACACCACTTTCATTATCCCTTTGAACTTGTAACACAATAGAAATCATGATGATCAGCTCGCTTTGTTTTTCGCCTGCCTCTGATTCCTCCGCCCTTGTTACACGCTGCTCCATCGTTACATGTACACAAACGATTGTCGTCGTCGTTAGCGAATATCCCATTATCTATCCACACCACACCGGAGATTGTGCAGCGGCTGCTTTTCGGTTGGGTTACCAAAAACATAATAAATTATATAATCATCATCATCTTCTTCCTGTTCCCCTATTTCTGAACGGTGGTCGTCCTGGTGCGGCTTCTGTGGTGTATGATTTAGGGGAGGAGGGGGATTAGAAAGAGCAACACAAACTCTGCCTCACTTTGAGTGGTGTGGGCTGGAGTTTACTTTGGTCGACGTAACAAGAAGGTAAAGTAATACAAAAGGCGATTAGACATGGTTTTCACGACTTTGCGCTTGAATATCTCTGGTGCAAATTCGAATTTTGAGTTGATTTTGATAGACAAGCAAGATAATACTCTCAAAAAGATATCTCTAAATTTTTAAGGCGATAGCTTCACAAATGTCCCCTCCAGAGCCCCCAAAGTTGGAAGGTGTCAAAAATCCACTTTCCAAACTTAATTATTCATGTGGCATGATAACCAAAGAGGTCAGAGGTGAAAAATTATTATTATTATGCCTAGATAATGATTGTATCTAATAATGAAAGAATCCGTAATGAATAAAATAATGTGGGCCCTCCAGCATCGCTGATACTTTTCCATGAAAAGTGATCAATCGGACCGTGCACCGAGAAATTGATCTTCTGACCTTGAAAACGGACCGACTGGGTAAAATGAAGATTGAGGGCAAAGCTCTAAGTGTCCTAAGTAATATTAAATAAAACAGTGAAGATTTTGAGTAAACAGTTTTGGAGAAGGGCCCGAGCTAATCAGTTGACGTGGAATCCTAAAAAACTCTTGAACTTATTTAGAAAATTAATAGTCAAATTTTGTTGAAAAACAATTTTATTAAGTTTTTTGTGTCCCCTGCTGCAGAACTATTTTACCTACAAGGTACAAGTGACAAAATAATAAAATTACTGCGTTTTGATTAGTTAAAAAAATTTTAAAGTTCCGCTTCAATTTCGAGGAGAACTTTTGTAAAAATTTTATAGGGTTTGATGGAAACTCATTTCCTGGGGTGTAACCACTTATCAAAATTTTATCAAAAGTACTTACAGTGCAATATACTATATGTACCTTGGAGATAAACAACGTTTGGGATTTTTAGTGTCAAAGTCCTAAAATGTGGGGGCCTTAAAAGTCGAGGAGTTGCGTTCGTGAGAGCATTCCATAGGACAAGTATGAAGTTAAACTACAAAAGGGACTTAAAAGATAAGCATGAGACAAAAGTGGTTTTATATAGTGAAAAGCATGCTGAGTCCATTGATAATAGTCGCAAAGACGATTTCTGCACTAGGGCCTCAGAAAAAATCTTTTGTTCGACGCCATTTTATAAGAACACTGGTTTGGAAAACTAAAAAAGGACACCCCTGCAAATTTGACCTTGCCTCATGCCCCAGAGTGCACAACACCGGAAGCCAAATATGTTTACCTATAGTTCGAGACATGGGCTTTCACATAAAAAAAGTTAGAAATCTCTCCAGCCAAAAACCATCGCATAATTAAATTATGAATTTGTGCAAACCATCTATAATCGCCTTTTGTAAATAGATGAATAATGAAGTGGGTGCATGAGACGGGAGAAAGCAGCAGCCAAGCCAAAGCTCCTTAGACTGCTCCTCTCTCTCTACTCAGCAAAAATGCATTACACAACGATCCATGGTCTCAACATTAAATGTAAAGTGACATATTTCCACATGATCTCTTTCCCTCCTCCTCGCGTTGGGCACCATCCAATTCGGAACTCATCTTCATTTTAAAAATGCAGGGCGAGAGAGAAAGCGGTGAAGAAACAGTGGGAGAAAGCATGCACATTCCTCCATTGAGCCAGCCAGTGGACGAGTCCCGTCTTCGTACGTAGCCATGAATACGTCGTAGATGCCCTCTCTTCATCTTCTCCTCGATGTGGTACTCGCTGTCTTTGAGCCAGTTGAGTGACGTCCGTCCAAATACCTTTTCATGGACGGAATTCACTTGGTGGTCTGGTCCCTTGGCTTCTTGGAATGATGCATTAAGCCAAAACCAGAGAGAGAGAAAATGTTTCCAAAGAGGTTGGTTGGCGGGAGGAGAGGACATTTATTTCCTCGTCGTCGCCGTCGTCTTATTTGGTTGCCATTCCTTGGATCAGCCATAGGACTGGGACTTGTAAAATTGACGGGTTGTGGTGTGACGTGGGGACGGGGAGGAATGCAGAAGCAGACTTTATTATTATTCCCCCACTGCAGACGGAGAAAGGGAGCGAGTGCTGTGTCACTTTCACATTTATTGATAACTTCTGGGTGATAAGTGGAATGTCGGCATAATAATGTCTCCCTGTTTCTCTGCACCAGCCGAGAAGCGAGCGAGAGAGAGAGTTGAAAGGGAATATATTTCGCGTGTCGGCAGGCTCATGGCGAGAGAGAAAGTTGCACAAATTGAGCTGGATGTTGTATAATAATCATGTCTGCTTATGTATGTATTGATCTCATGACTTATTCCAGACTGTTTTTTACTCTGATTGCAGTTCAATGATACAAAGTGGCGACTCCCACCCATCACTTGTGATTTCTACATCGCCATGGACGTGACTTGCAGTACCTCCTCAATCCTCAATCTCGTCGCCATCAGCATTGACAGGTGAGCCAGCACAATTGACTTGCAAGAGAGTGAAACCCACGCCGGCCACCGAAAGTGACACGCAATCTCTTCTTGACAACCGAGTAATAAGTTGATACCGATGAAATTGATAGTTTGCACCTTCTCCAATGAAATCTTTTGACTACATTGGTAATAAATTTCATTATCAAATTCATGAGGAAATTTGTCCAGCTTGTAACGGTCAGAGTGTATGGATCGAGAATCCGTTGGGTTAGCAATAATTAGTGGGTGAGCTGCGTGGAGTGATAAATGAGAGGGACGTGGTGGATGAAAAAGAGCTTATCGAGACCATTAAGGGCCGAGAGCGGGAGGAGGGGAACCATCTTGCTCCTGGTGTCAAGCCGTCACTCCCGTGCCAGATGTCGACCCCGCCATGCACTTTCTCCTCCAGAGAGGAAAAACAGGAGATTGCATGAAAAATAAATGTTATCGTTCCAAAATGTGTTGCACCCACTTGGAGAAAACTGCTTCTTCTTTTCCCATTGTGCCCCCGGTTCTGATTTGTTAACCTCCCAAAGGCTTTATCATTATTGGGTTACACTGGGTAGACGCAGGCGATGAGAGGGATTGCATAAGGCCATAACCAGCAGGTGTCCCCTCGTAGTGCAATGGGGACTCTGCTGCTGGGGAGAAGTGGCCAGGAAAATGATAAATTATGGAAATGTGTCCCACTCAATTGACTCTCTCGTTCTTTTCCCCTCGCTCCGCCAAACTTGTCCTAATGAGACAATCAATTGTCCCAAGCTGACAGTTTTGACAGCTCTTGATGGATCACAGATACACCTGTGGATATTAAATTATGGAAATTTGCCAACATTTTCGCTCCACTTATTCTTCTTGACTGTGGTTAAAGAGAAAAAGTTCTAGGCTGGGCGATAATTGATTGCGTAGCTGATCTAGAGTTTTGTGGATTACATATTACGCAGTCCTTCCCGTGAGTTTTACGATCCAGTGACATGTTCCGATAACAATGTGCATGTGGATGATATCGGAATAATAACAATAATGCGAGGTTGTGTAAGGCCAGATATCGGAATTATGCAGAGTTGCTCTGATTAGTGATGATAAGGGCACGTCACTCACTCGCAGCATAAACACATTGCGACTGAACAATGGTGTGTGACGATGGTGGTGATGATAAGGAAGCGGGGATGGACCAGATCAGAGGACGATTAGTATGGCACAGCCAGTACACTGGAAGCATAGCACCAAGTTTGTCCTTTGACGGTCACCACCATTCATTTCGAAGATGACTACCATTCACGTATTTGCTGTCTTCTTCATCTTTGCAAGTTTCTCCACTCCTCTGGTAAGCAAAAGCTAGGAAGTAAGGCAAAGGGGCATGTCCTCGATGGTTGATTTACGTATTTTCCACTGAAAAAGATCAGCGGTCAGGTGGAGTGTCCTCCCGACGGAATCGTCTATCTTCCTGACCCCGACTGCACCAAGTACTGGATCTGCGCGGATGGGGACTCTGTCTCGCTCACCTGTCCGAACGGATTCTACTTCAACCCTCTCATCGGCGAATGTGACTTTGCCGACAATGTCCCAGAGTGTCAAGGAGGGACCCGTCCACCCCTGACCACCCCACCTCCTGACACCACCACCACGAGACGCACCACCACCACCGGACCCCCGGATGCCACTCGTAATTGAACAGCATAATAGTTTCATGCATGAGAACGAGTCTATTAAAGGGGGATTGTGTGGCCTTGGCAGTGAGAGCGTGTGGCGAGAGGATGGTGGGCAATGCCGGATGGATCGAGTACAGCCTGAACGAGATGTACCCACCACGGCTCAGGTGCGCCTTCGTCCTCCGCACCTTCAACCACTCGGGCTTCATCTTCACCCTGGAGGAGAACGGCCTTATCGAGGATCCCACCCACACGGGAGGCTCCATCCAAATCTTTGGCTTTAGCAACGAGGGACTTGCTGACAGTGCAAACCTGTAATTATTTAGTACCCCCACAGACGCACTTTTCGACTACTACTCTTACATCTCGTGCTTCATCCACACAGGGGGCCACCCAACCCTCTTCCGCAAGCATACGTGGCTGGGGCACTGGCTGTGGTCATCCTACGCACCCAGTTCATGGGGGGTCAGGGTTTCCGACTCAAGTTCGAAGCGACGGGGGCATGGCGGTACGACTTTGTGAACTGGGACGACGTGATCGATGGGGTCACACCAGGCTCACTGAGCTACCCCTTCGATGAGCCAGAGTATCATTACAACACGCTCTCCGCCTTCGTCTTCTCCAGCAACCACGAACAGGTCGCCATTGGGACAAACCTGCTCCTCAACCTGCACGACGTGGACATCGAGATGTGCTTGGATGGGTGCACGTGCGATTATTTGGCTGTCTTCTCCTTCACTGGGAGTGGTCTCCAAAGTTTTGATAAGTCTGTCGCCCCTTAATTTACTCTCCTCTTGCATTTGCGACACTAGCGACTCAGCAGAATCCTTGTTTTTTTAGGGTGTGTGGGAACGACACGACTCCGCTGCGATACACGACGGACAGCCTTTTCATCGTGATCTTCAAAAGTGATCACACCCGAAATGGGAAGGGCTTCAAACTGGAGTTCGACTTGGTCCCACTCCTGAACTAAGAGATCGGACTAGCTGTCACAACTCACCGCATAAATTTATCTGATTCGATAACAATTGTCAAATATTAAAGGAAACGATATCATTTGATACGAGATTAATGGCAAAAATATGTTAAAACTGTCTCAAATTGAGCATGTCTCCCTTGCCCCCGTTGGCATTGCGAGACTCGTCCAATTTCATCCACATAGCACTGCGTACCTATTTATTACTTTCTTGCACCAGCACTGGCAGAGCTGAGTGGGGAGACAAAGACGGAGACATAATGCTTCTCTCTCGCCCAAAGTCGTCACTCTTCTTGGCAGAGAGCTTGTGCCTGACAGACTCCCAGATTTTGATGCCCATTGGATTGACATGTATTTACTCCAGAAATATTCTGTCCTGGGGTAAGTCTTCGAATTTTTTTTGAAGCTCAGTTTGATATCGCATATAGGAAAGCAACTGTGTTAGATAATAAAATTCTAGAATTATGAAAATACGATCGACATTGGATTTTTGGTGAAGGTTTTAATGAGCTAAAACGGTATTTTTCGTATTTTTCTCCACTTTGAGTGGGTGTGGCGGGCGAAAATGGAACCATGGAACAAACCCCTCCTTCACTTTTCGTAGTTTGTCAGTAGTACTGAAATATATCCAAAAGGTATAAAAATCCGTGAGTCTGTCAGTCCTCCGTTGGAGAAAGTAAACAAGTTTTGGCTCTGGGACAAAAACAAGGCTTCTCTGCTGCAATAAATAACAATGCGCTTCGTTCTCATTCAGAAAATGAAATGTGTCCCATTCAACAACCAAATTGGGAAAAGAACGAAAATGGCATCCCAAATATTGCAGAGCTAGGTTTCTCTCATTGACGGCATGCACACAATATCTCCTTTCTCCGCCACCGCATAACATGTTCCCACGTCTTTTACGAAGATGTGTCTGCAGGATTACGATCCTCCACAAAACTTCTTATTTTCTTTGTTGAGGGAGCGAATGGGGGAAAGATGCCATGTTTTAGCCCTGTGCAGAACCAGAGTCGACCCATCTATATTATAAGCTGGAAATGTTTGTCTGCAACGGAAGTGAAAGTAAATGTTCCGCAACGGAAGTGAAAGTGGAGAAAGTCAAGTTTCGAATGGCGCGAAAATTCAAAATAAATTCAAAATTTAAAAATTAACAGTCAGATTTTGGGGGTTGTCTGATGGTGGTTATCTGGGAATGGTTGTCTGATGGTTATCTGGGAGTGGTTGTCTGATGGTTATCTGGGAGTGGTTGTCTGATGGTTATCTGGGAGTGGTTGTCTGATGGTTATCTGGGAGTGGTTGTCTGATGGTTATCTGGGAGTGGTTGTCTGATGGTTATCTGGAGTGGTTGTCTGACGGTGGTTATCTGGGAGTGGTTGTCTGATGGTTATCTGGGAGTGGTTGCCTGATGGTGGTTATGTTGGTGGTTATGTAAAAATCAAGGGTGCTTATCTTATAGTTGACATATTTGTTGTCGTGACCACATTACTTTAAAGTAAAGTAAAAATGAAGTGGAAGTCAGTCGCGGGTATGCTGGGTTGGCCACTTTAGTTTAAAGTAAAGTAAAGTAAAAGTGAAGTCGAAGTCAGTCGCGGGTATGCAGGATTGGCCACTTTAGTTTAAAGTAAAGTAAAGTAAAAGTGAAGTCGAAGTCAGTCGCGGGTATGCAGGATTGGCCACTTTAGTTTAAAGTAAAGTAAAGTAAAAGTGAAGTCGAAGTCAGTCGCGGGTATGCTGGGTTGGCCACTTTAGTTTAAAGTAAAGTAAAGTAAAAGTGAAGTCGAAGTCAGTCGCGGGTATGCTGGGTTGGCCACTTTACTTTAAACTAAAGTAAAGTAAAGTAAAAGTGAAGTCGAAGTCATTCACGGGTATGCTGGGTTGGCCACTTTAGTTTAAAGTAAAGTAAAGTTAAAGTGAAGTCGAAGTCAGTCGCGGGTATGCTGGGTTGGCCACTTTACTTTAAACTAAAGTAAAGTAAAGTAAAAGTGAAGTCGAAGTCATTCACGGGTATGCTGGGTTGGCCACTTTAGTTTAAAGTAAAGTAAAGTAAAAGTGAAGTCGAAGTCAGTCGCGGGTATGCTGGGTTGGCCACTTTAGTTTAAAGTAAAGTAAAGTAAAAGTGAAGTCGAAGTCAGTCGCGGGTATGCTGGGTTGGCCACTATACTTTAAACTAAAGTAAAGTAAAGTAAAAGTGAAGTCGAAGTCATTCACGGGTATGCTGGGTTGGCCACTTTAGTTTAAAGTAAAGTAAAGTTAAAGTGAAGTCGAAGTCAGTCGCGGGTATGCTGGGTTGGCCACTTTACTTTAAACTAAAGTAAAGTAAAGTAAAAGTGAAGTCGAAGTCATTCACGGGTATGCTGGGTTGGCCACTTTAGTTTAAAGTAAAGTAAAGTTAAAGTGAAGTGGAAGGTGGTAACGGGTTGGTCACTTTAAAGTAAAGTAAAGAGTGAAGTGTAACAGTTATGTATACCCGTGGCTGACTTCTAATTCACTTCCAGGGCACTTCGCAGTGAAGTAGCCAAGACAAACTGCTCAGATAACTACCATGACACATTTAATTTTGTTTAATTCATTGATTTCCAGAGACATTTCATTTAGCTTATTTTGAATTTACGCGTCATTCGAAAGTATCTTTACTATCACTTTCGCTGAGGAACATTTACTTTTACTTTGTTGCCGGTAGACATTTGCAGCTAATAATTCTCGCTGGCCCGGCGGGAGACGGGCTTATTCGCTAGTTATTATTAAACGTAAATATCACTCACTCACTTTCTCTGAGCACTTACTCTCCCATTCCGCTGCACGCTTTCACATTGCTTTCTCCACTACAATTTGGCTTTCTATTTTGGTTTTTTATCCTCAGATAAGTGTGCTAATGATTATGTTATTTTTATAAATTGTTTATTTTATTATAATGTCACTTGTGGAAGAGCACATTTTGGACCTCTTTACTTGGAACTGTATTTTGTTTTATGATTATGATCACCTGCTGATTTATCTTTACTTGTTTTTTATATTAGAATAGTTAAATATATGGTATATTGACCAGTGTGTCACCAATGGTAGACCATTGTTGTTGTACTTGTACGATGTATGCAATGAATTGGGAAAGACACAGTAATAAAGATATACATACATACATACATACATACTAATCCAAACGCTCCTGGTTTTCTGTATGGAGCATGACATCACAAAATGAGACGTGCTGTCACTTTACGGTGGGTGCGAATAAATGCGCAAAATCATATATGCAAAAGTACCTATGAAGCAAACTATTTGCTTCTGTCAGGATATATTATGTGACGGGCTGACAGAAATTCATCTCATTTTGTTGTAAATTTCAGATTTATCGCAGTGACGCAGCCCATAAAGTACGCCAAGCACAAGAGCAACACGCGTGTGTGGTTGACGATTGTCTTTGTGTGGGTGTTTTCTGGCCTGGTGGCGTCTCCCATCGTGCTGGGGCTGAACACGCCCCTGGGTCAAGGAGTGCACGACCCCACGTCCTGCATCTTCCACAACTACTACTTCATCTTCTTCTCCTCCCTCTGCTCCTTCTACATCCCCTGCACCATCCTCGTCTACCTCTACTACCGCATCTTCAAGGTCAGCACCACCCTCAATATCATCCTCATGTCTTTTGTCTCTTCCTCTATAAGACCACTGACAATGAAGGGCTCCCAGCGCTCTCCGATTTTGACCAATTATTTTAACCGTCCTCTTTGGATGCCAAACATGAGCATTGCCAGATAGCGTCGTTTTGCAAATTTCATATTAGTTAAACTTGTGATTACTTGACAATACTTTGGTCAAAATCGGAAAGCAGCATACGCTGGGAGACTTCCATTGTGAGGCTGAAATATTTACGCAACGTTTCCATTAAAATTAAAACATCACGTGGTTATAGCATTCTCGTTCAAGAAAGGAAGCCCTCCCCCTTGCTCGACTAATGTTATATATTTAGCTATACGAGGCATTTCTGAGGACCCACTAATTGTGAATGCAGGTGATCCGAGAGCGTGCGAAGAAGGCGGTGAGCGGTGGTCACGCATCCTCGAAACCAGCGAGCGGCGTGGGTGGGACGGTGATTGAGAACCTGGCTCAAACCAAGAGATTAGCCGAGACGACGTTGGGGGGTCCGTCCAGTCTGCCCATCCCGCCCTCGCAGCCGGAAGACGAGCGGGGGACGAACACGGGGAGCGGGAGTCAAGAGGAGGAGGACGAGGACCTTGAGCGTGACATGGACGAAGGGGAGGAGGAGGAAGAAGAGGCCGACGAGGAACCAACCCCGGAGAACGAGTGTCAAATCATAGCCAACAACAGGCTGGCCACCGCCTTCGTCCTCGAATCCGTGCGGAGTGAGGAACGGTATGACCTCATACGTAGTTATCATATCATACGTAGTTACGCCATTTATTTACTTATCATGGTTGCTTGATTTGTGGGAGCAGAGGGGCTTTAGAGCGGCGAATAGAACTGAACGGGAACCATGATTCTGGATATGCAGCCTCCAACTTGGAGGAAGGTCATCCCGTGGCGCAAGAACCCTCACCCGCCAGCCCCAAACATTCTCTACCACTCCCACTCGTAAGTGTCCTCCTTCAGCTAATTTGCCCTGCACCCCGCTCTTAACCCTCCGGCACCCATCAAGCATATTACGCAATTACTTTCTCCCAACAAGGAGGAGGAGGAGGACATGGACTTGGATCTCCCTGTGAATGAAGGCCATGTGTGGAGGACGGAGGGAGAGGAAATTGATTTCCTTTCATTTGCTTTCTTTTTCTCAAGTGGAAGAGTCCTCCGGTCACAAAGTTATTGCCTTCGCCTTGTTCCTCTCTCCCTTTCTCCTCAACAACTCTCATCATCCATCCATTCACAACTTTCCCAACTTTCTCCACTTTCTCCACTCCAGTCCAAAATAGAAGAAATGATTATTGCTCTCTCCATAAAGAGAAAAAGTTTCCCTCGAGAGCAGGCATGCCACATTACTTATTATTTTGTTTATTTCTTGTTTAGGAACCTTCCAAGCGGAACGGGCTGAAGGAGGTGACCACCGTCGACCCCAAAGCTTCAAATTCAGGGAGTCCCTGCATCGGCGGGGACGGGGCGTCCACTTCCTCCAGCAAAAAAGCCCCCGGAAGTCGATTCACCATATGCAAAGCGCATAAAGCGAGCAGGCGCAAGAAGGAGAAGTCCTCCGCGAAAAGGGAGCGCAAGGCGACAAAGACTTTGGCCATTGTGTTAGGTTTGTAATTGACACTGATTACGCACACAGTCATGAATTATCAATGTCAACAAAGTCATTATTGTTGATGATTTTGTGTGGCGCAGGCCTATTTCTGCTCTGTTGGCTTCCCTTCTTCACATGCAATATAATGGATGCGATCTGCCAAATGATGAACGAGCATTGTGGCATTGGGCTCACCACCTTCCTCCTCACGACCTGGCTGGGTTATGCCAACAGGTAAAAAAACACTCAAAAGGTTCAAGTAATTGCAAAGATAACGCATCTTTCTCCCCGCAGCTGCCTCAACCCAATCATCTACACAATTTTCAATCCAGAATTTAGAAAGGCGTTTAAAAAGTTGATGGGACTTGGGGCCTAAAAAGAGGAAGATGAGCAAATGAAACATTATGACTTTATTTTGCGATGAACAATTACGATTCGTCGCCTAATCGAAGAAGAGGATAACGAAGGACAAGAACTCATCAATCATGCTTACTAATTGTATCTCCACCAATCTGACCTACAGAAAATCTCCCTTTGTGCATCTACTAACTAATAATATTACTCCTTAAAATATCATTGATCTGTCATCACCAAATCTTGTGAGAATATCTTCATTAGCATTACAAATATAAAATAAGTACTAAAATACTCTTAGAAAATAATGTTAATAATGCGAACTTGTACGGTGGTGGTTAATCGGGTGGTTATTAATTTACGGATGCTGTTGGTCGCTTTCACTGGAAAAAATGAGGTGCTAAAATATCTTCTTTAAATAAATACCTGTGCATATTCTACTAATAATGCTTGCATATTTATGTCGACTAAAGAATGCATGGAGCAGATTTCCATAAAATGAGCATAAATATTTACAACCTTACATACAAAAGTTAATATGTACACGCATGGTGCTAATTACTCCCAACCAAACCGTAGGATTATTTAAGAGAACTTGTTACTGACCGAATATGTATTAATATAATTATCAATCCTTACATTTACCAAATGGTGATAGACTTTAAACTACATACGTGTGTGCTCTCTAAATAAGTAAGAAGTAAGCAAATTAATAAATCCATGGCCAAAATAGAGAATATTCTGGTTGTAAAATAATAATAAATTTTACGGTGTAATAGTAATTACAATAATTACGTAATTAACTCGAACTTATATAAAAACTTTAGAGGGCGTAAAGTCTCGTGCATATATGTATAAAGAAAGTACTCAAAAAAGATACCATGAAATCGAGCTCCTTCTTTGGTATCATTTTCGAGTAAAACACTTGTATGCACAATCCGCTCTCCTCTAAATACAACCCGTCTCTTTACGTATGTAATTATTTCAACACATAATAAAAGTACATAAGTGACGAAGTAGTGGATTCTCTCTTTGTGTGCATAAATGGATGGGATATATACAAATTATATAAATGTTGTTATGTTACACGACATTTGTGATGATGACCTAATTAATTAAAATTATGTGTGAGATGATGTGAAATGAAAGAAACTGAATAAAGTCAGAATATATGTATGTACATGCGATGGCAGGTCTTGGCTGCTGGCTGTGGAGATCATAATGACGGGCTGAATTATTACTCAATTTATAATCCATAAAAAATATTGATTCCATTGGTTCTGTCACAAAAAGTAGTCGATCTTGGCCTTATCTGCTGCTCGGACAATCTCAGGAGCGGATAGGCTTGATGAATCGATGTCAAAAAGATATGTATCAAGGACACAAGAGGTTCTCTCCTCGAGTGGGAGACAGTGAAAGAAAGGAGTTGACCATACGATTTAGATATACTGAACCAAATCCACTTTATTTTTAATATATGACCACTACTACGATAAGAACAGAGAGATACTGTGTGTGCGGTCCGTGACGAAGATGACAAGCCATTGCATTTTCAAATCTTACATTTAGTACTCTTCTTACATTATCATTATTATCATCATGAATGCATAAATGTTATTATTGTTTTTCACTTGCCAAAGTTGAACATGTTTCTTCGTCATTCATTTCATGCCTACATGACTAGCCTTCTCCACAAGGAGGAGGAGGAGGAGAAAAAAATGTCTTTACACTTTTACAATAGTTTTACAAGGAAATTAAGTACAGTAGAGTTTCAGTGTTTTCGAATAATTATTAGAATGATGGATTCTGCTACAAATTCAAAGTTTTGCTCTCAATTCCTACCCTAGAATTAATTTAAATTAAAGTTCCATCAGTATGCTTCGTGGATCCTCGACAGAAGATTTGATCTTTTTAAGGAAAGTCACAGCTTCACGGCCATCGATGAGGCGATGATCGTAAGTCAATGCGACGTACATCATGGGACGAATCACCACCTAGACAAGAAACCACACACATACACATTATGACATTATGTAACACCATATCATATTATATGACTACGACACGAGAAAAGGCAGACTAGATTTAGATGATAATAAACACTTATAAATGAGCCATTTCAACAGCCTGCTGCACGCTGCCGGGTGCTGAATAAACACTATATCGTCGAGCTCGATCGATAAAAATATTTTAAGAAGCAATAAGTGTGTAGTCAACTGAATGGACAGAATGATATCGGAGCAAGCATATAATGGAAAGACGAGCGAGGGCACTTTTTCTTCTTATAAACAATGAGGGGTAGGAGTAAAAAATAAGATAAAAAAGGAAGCACTTACTTGTCCATTTCGTGCCACGGGTCTCTCAACAATGGCATGCATTCCAAGAATAGCAGATTGAGGAGGATTGATGATTGGCGTTCCGTACAAGGAGCCAAAGACTCCTCCATTAGAGATGGTGAAAGTGCCCCCATCCATGTCCTCCACCGCGAGATTCCCGTCTCGAGCCTTCACTGTATAGAAAGAACGACAACTAATCAGTTTTTGATTTGCGTATGCCTCCATGCAATTAAATACTAACCTGCCAGAGCAGCCATTCCCTTCTCAATATCCGCGTAACTCATCGAGTGCACGTTACGTAACACAGGGACAACCAAGCCCTGATGGTAAAAAAGGTATTATTGTGATTTAAATTTAAACCACAATTGTAATATATCGGTCATAAATACCTTTGGAGTCGCAACGGCCACAGAAATATCAACGTAGTCTCTATAAATTATTTCTTGTCCCTCAATTACGGCATTACACACGGGTTGGTCCATCAACGCGTAGGCGGAAGCTCAAATAGAAAAATGATTTCAATAAAAAGTTTGTCATTATTATTTTCTGTTGTTACAACAAATGCGGATGAAACCGATTGTATATTATTTAGTTCTTGGGTTAAACATTAAATACCTCGCACAAAAGGAGACATGAACCCAATCTTGACTCCATGGCGTTTAGCAAAGGCTTCACCCAAGGATTTTCTCATGTCGATAATGTTGCTGAAAGATGAAAAGTAGGTCAGATAGTAATAGCGGAACTTACTCTGCCGTGAAGATAATTGTTTTAGTTACTACCTCATATCGATTTCGTTGAAGGTGGTAAGCATGGCATTCGTATTTTGGGCTTCCTTCAGTCGCTGAGCAATTCTCAAACGCATTCTGTTCATTTTTACTCGTTGTTCCGTTCGAGTACCGCTGATTTCCTTGGTGGGATCGGCAGGAGGAACCTAGTTACAAATCATCAGACTGTCAGACAAACTAATCGACTACTGTCTAAAAGCAAGTAATTATATTTTAATAAACACAATCTCATGCGCACCTTGACTCTTGGTTCAACCATGCTCATTTGTGGAATTGCGGCTATCGGCGTACTTTCCCTTGGCTTGGATGGACGTGGAGGAGGTGGTGGGGGAGTTGAGGGGGGTGGAGCAGCGGCTGAATATCAAATGCAGATTTATTTATTACATGTAATGTTTCTCCTTAGGAGAAACCACGGACAACAAAAAAGTTTATGCACCCTGATGTAACCCATAATTAAGATGTAAATAGCGACAATACCTTTCGGCGGGGCGGCTGCTGCTGCAGGTGGTGGTGATGGGGCAGCTTCCACTTTAGGTGGTGGTGGTGGAGGAGGGGGTGCGGCTGCAGATTTGGCAGGTGCTGCACCACCTACAGTTACATATTTTCATTATATTGTAGCAAGATAATAATAATCCAAAACTATTCATTGTATGAAAATAAATATGGCTAAACTTACCCTCAGTAACTTTCATCCGGAACAATTGCATTCCTGGCTTGACCGTTGTTCCATCTTCCACAAATCTCTCTTCAATTATTCCATTGGCAGGAGCAGGAATCGGAATTGAGGTCTGGAAGAAATTAAAATCATTATTTATGCTAATAAAAATAAACATAAACATACTATCTGCTACAAATCCACTAGAATTGAGTGTACCTTATCCGTCTCTACCTCAGCCACGGTCTCGTCGACAGAGACGGAATCACCGACAGCTATGTAAACAGTAATTAAACTATTAGATTGATCATCATGTGATTAACACAGTCAATTTTGACGCACCTTTTTCCCACCTAACATCGCCCTCGGAAATAGAGTCGGCGAAAGGTGGAACGACGACAATTTTGCTCTCATCTTGAACGGGAACACTGAGGTGAAAGGATCTTGCACATCCGGATCCGCCCAAACTCCAGGAACACGACCTCTCCGAGTGACTGTTCAGGGGAACTGATAGAGGCAACTGGGAGACAACACGGCCAAACCCACCCCCACGTAGAATGCTTAGTTGAGAGTACTGACGCCCATTGGCCGTGCTCAACAACTCGGCCCACTGAAATGCAACATAAATCAAGTAAGTCATTCTACTAGCCTAATCAATAATGATTTCTGCTACCAGACCTTGACACATTTGCGACTAGCTCGACTTGAGAATTTCAACATCCTGGCTGAATTTTATAATCAATGTCAACAAAGTAATTTACAAACAGCAGCTGAAACACAAAACATGAGTTAATATCAATATACAAAATGAAATGCATGAAATAAATGAAGAACCATTTAATGTGGTCTAATTACCTTAATTCGTCAACAATGTGCAAATTTACGTCAGTCATGCAATTCTTTTAAAGACGGATCTACCCAGATAGAATTTGTGACTGTGGGTGGAACCGCTCCCACTTCCACGCCAACTTTCCACACGGAAACTATTAAAAGCCAATCAATTAGTTAATTAGAATTAATTCGGTTCGGAGCAGAACTGAGTGAGCGAGTGTGACTCCGGTGTCTGGGAAAAGCCGAATTTTGCGAGAGAGCAGTGCAAAAATAATATCGGACGGGATCATTCATGGATTATATTTGCAACTAGTTGCTAATTATGGGGGTACAGGAACAGGCAAAGCAATTATAATTAATCATTCTACCACAATAGTTAGCGACTGTGGGTGTGGTGAATGGTGCCCTGACCTAACCCACACTGCTCTCGGGCCTCGTGAGACATCGTCGTCACGATGGTTTCCCACCGCCAAATCTCGTCACACAAGTTTCTACTCGTGTGTTTATTTAGTTTTTTTCGATTTCAATGTCGACGAATGATTTTGGATTTTAATTTTTAATAGTACGTAACTTTTTGTAGTAATTAATCCTTCAGTGTTTTTAGATAATTTTAAAAGTAACAAAATGAGCCACACCTTTTCCGACGGTCAGACCCTGTGTCCTTATAACGATTCACACGTCGTCAGCAGATTAAGGGTCATTCCTCATCTCGTCAAATGTCGACAGGTTAGTAATGTAGCTTATTTTTTATTCTACTACTACTTAGTAGTTGTGAATTGTTTTTCTAATGATGTGAATTTGGGTTGTTATCACAGCAACACCCCCATTTAATGGAGAAAATCAAGATTTGTCCTTACAATCAAGGACACCACATCCCCTCACAAGAAATGACGACCCATCTTGCAACCTGCAAAGAATTTGAATCGTCCAAACTCGGATTATCGGAGCGTGTTCATCAACAAGGCATAATCCTAGTTTAACGTTAATTTGTTTTAGTAATAATTGTCGCTCGTTTATTTAATATGGTTTGTTATACATTGTTCTTAAAGGTAACTCCAGTCAAAAAAAGAGTGGAGCAACCTCTACAACGAAGCTGGCAGCAATTTTGAAGGACTTTGACGATGAAGAATTTGCTGGTTAGTCGAAGAACTCAATTTGTGATTATATATTGATTTGATTTTTATACACCGCTTAACTTTACAGAATGGAATTGAATCACAAAACTACACGAGGAAAAAAAACAGCTGAACACTCACTCCAAGGTTGCTGTAATTTTTCAAGATAACTCAAAACAACATACACCTCAAGCATGGTGTACAATCGCTACACTTTTACAAAGTTACAATAAACAATTTTTATTTATTTATTCGTTTTAATAGTTCGACTTTCATGTAAGGGGCTGTACATAAAACATGCGATCGATTTTCGGAGAATTTTGACCCCTACCCCCTGGTGTGACCTATATGTCCCATGTTATTAACATGGGAAGGATAAGATACCCCCTCAAATTGATCACATGCTTTCTGCACAGTCCCTAAGTGACAACTGACAAAATATATTGTAAATAAAAATACCACAAAAGGTACAATTGCACATATTCCTTCATAATATATTATATTCGCTCTTTCCACTCATCCACCATTGATTGATTAAAAACAACATGCTGGATACAATACAATGCGATGACGTCGATAAACACGTTTCAAGAATTGATCTTACTAATAATATACGACGATACGAAGAGAATATCTAGTAAATATTCTTTATGATAAAAATTGGGATTCATTTTACGAATAATAAAATTGCGCACGAAAACGAAATTAAAATGAGTGGAAAATGAATTGTTAGAATAATGATGTTGATAATAATTAATTGAGATATCAGGGATTGAAAATATATGGTGGTGACGATTAAGCTATTACGATGATTAAAACTATTAAACTATGATTCTAAATCATATACAAACAACATTTCATTTTTTCCTAACCCAACGTCCATGAATGTCGGAGGAGTTGGATTACTTTTGGACGTCGTCTTGCAAGGAAGACTGCGCTTGGGGAAGTTTGTGGCGATATCAAAATTGTTGGGTGCTTCGGCATGACTAAAGACAAACTGGTAGAGATGCTATATAGAGTAAAAATAAATAATTCCATTAGTATTATTTTCATGAAGAGAACAAGTAGAAATAAATAATAATTACCGATAATGAATCTGTTTTTAGAAAACGTCGTTCCAGTCTTGTACCATTTGGAAGCTTAATTATGGTACGGATAGTGTCGGGATGATCGGCTGGGGGTTCCATCTTCAGTGCTTCACCAGCTTCCTTTTTCTGTCGTTTAATATCCTGTAGAAAAGAAAACAAAAAGCTTAATTTTTGCACGACATATTAAATGGAGTAGACATAAGATATTTGTTATTCCAGAACTAACTACTTAATAAATACATTACAATACACACACACCTCAATATGTTGAATTTCTTCGTCGATTTTGCGTTGTTTTTCCATTTCTTCTTCCTGTAATTTCTTTAATTCCTCTTGCTTTCGTTTCTCCTTTTCCTGATCGGCTTTTAAACTTTGTAAGTAGGCTTCGTCCTGCTGCTGACGTAAATGTTGTGTCATGTTCCGTTCATAGCGATCCTGTCTTGCAGCGACAAGGAAAGCTTCATTGTCAGCAACACCTTGGTGAAGTCGAGGGAGCACCACCGAAGGATCTGTTTCTCCTTCAATTCTAAATACATTGTAACTTTGTAAATATTGTAGGCACGAACAATACATATAATAGCAAAAATCAGTATTAATAAATTTTACCTTTTCACAATTGTCATTCGATTATTTTTTAGAACAATAAGAGCTAAGAATGGGTACGTATTCTCTCTCAACGCTTGGGAGGTTCGGTAGCCCTCAGGCTTGGAAACTGAACAGGCCCAGAACAACATGTTTTCACGGACAAAGTCGTTGAAATCTCTGTTTGGCATTACATTTCTGCAAAACATGTCAGTCTCCAGGTGGTCTTTGCAATGAAGGTAAACTAAGAGAAATTTCAGTTCTTTCTTAGCATCGGCCAGAGCTTGCCCATAGCTTCCTTGATAGAAATTCGGATGTTCAGTTCCAAACTTTGCTTCATATTCTGTGAGGAATTCTACAATGTCTTGGACAGGATTCGTAATGGCTGAATTGAAAAAAAAATTAGTAACAACATGTGCACATCTTCTTCTTATAGTAAAACTTATCTACCTCTTCTTGGATCGGTTCTTAAATTAAGAAATCTTAGGCCAAACCCAATCACATCCCATACAAATTGAAACACCATCTCCATTGGTCGCGTAAGGAGTGCCCACACCCAGTTTAAGAGGCCACCCCCTCCTTGCCGTCCAGGATTTGGTCTTCCCCCAGGTGCAGCCAGCTGATTTGATGGTCCAGGCCCCATCATGGGGGGAGGAGTTGGAGGAGATGGGTCATCACGCACTTGATGTTCAATATGGTCAGCAGGAGCTGCATTTTCAAAGCCTAAGTGACTAGAAATGGCTGAAAGTAGATCCCAGTTGTGTCTTTCAAGGATTCTTCGTGACTCATCCATGTCCTCCATGCCAGACACGGCCTACAGATTATCCGTTGTAAAAACATAGTTAATAAGTATAATAACATCCTTGGCGAAATTTAAAAGAAGAATAGATTGACAATTCACCTGAAACTCTAAGATAAGCTCCATTACAGCATCTCCGTCCCCCAAATTGTTTTCCTCTGGCGGAATGTTGGCGTTTTCCATTTGATTGTTGGTTGAGCCCATATGTTGACTCCACCCACTGCTACAAAATTCTTCCCCACTCGCCTCCACTACTAAAAATGCAACAAACAGGAATGACGAAGACGTTATGATTCAATCACAGAAAAATTGTCTATGAGATTTATTTTGATAAATACAAAATGACATTAATTTTGTAAAGAAAGTTCAAAGTTTACCTTAAACTACTCTTGAACCGTTTGACGACGCAAGTGAGGCTCGAATGAAATGAATTTGAAAGAAGTTTTGAAATGTCTAATTTCTAATGATGACAGCAGTTTGCTCCTTGGAAGATGAGCTCGTTATCTTTGCGATGCACAACGAATAACCAACGATGATGAATGAATGGTGTCCTATTCCACTGAATAGGACATGACGAATGTTGTGCGAATGAAAATAAAGGTGCATAGAGTTGATCAGCTCAATGGCCAGCACTCCACCAAAATTAAACCTGCCGACAGAGCTGCAGATGAGACCCAGTGCAACAGTGAACAGTGGAAGAAAATTTGAAATTTTGCAAATTGTTGCCTGGTCCACCCATTCACATTTGAAAAGTCGGCAGCCCAAGCCCCACGCACGCCTAAAAATAGTCTGACTCCAACCAAACCAGTCACTCACGGCAGGTCACTTTTCCTGAGAGGATTATGGAGATGAAAGGACAAGGTGAGTCCACATTTTTAACACCTAGAACTTGTAGGGGTTAACTTTAGTTGTTGTTCAAGTCAAATAATTAGTAATTACTGAAAACTTACAATAAGGATAGTAAGAAAAGTGCAATAGAATTAATATGGTTGTTCCCGAATGGTCATCTTTCTGCTGGGTTACTGAGCTGTTGTTCCTCTTATTTCTCTCGCCTCTTTAGACCTTCTCCATTGAATTGAACCCTGATTGAGGACTTTCCACCACCACCACTGACCTGCTGAAATTGTCCTACTTGTTAGCCTTTAAAACCTCAAAATGCTCAAGACATCTTCCCTATTCTTCCGTCTGTCCTCCAGGTCCATCATATCGTTGTCACGAAAATGGAATGTCCTTGCTGTTACAAAGACATCATTCTCTTCTTCGGCAACTAATAACCCTGGCGCATCTAGCATGATCTCCACAATTACCTCCACCCTCAACAAATCCAGTTCCAGTACCATTGGTAATACCCAACCCAAGATGAAATTAAAGGAGAAAATGCGCATCTTCTGGACCAGCCTGTACATTGACTACAGGGACGTTATGTTGGACGCTGTTAGAGAAGGCAGAGAAAAGCCAAGGAAGGCCATATTCTACTTGGTCAGTCTCGGAGGCATCTTCTACGCCATGTTCACTAATCCTGGAAGAAAGAATTATTTTGATTTTGTCACCAAAATGGATACCGAACTCTCACTAATTGCAAAGGATGTCCGGAATCCGATATCCGTCTCATACTTGCAGAATGTGCGACAAATGGAGATTAAAGGACTCTTGCGACATACCAATTGTGCCTTCTTTTCCGTTATATGGAGGGACCATGAGAATCCGGAGGCAGCAGTTTTTCATGCCAAATGCAAATATGTCAAGCCCCGCTGGTCAGAGATCTTGTCGGAGCGCGTTGTTGATGTGGGGTTTGTAGGAAGATGGTGGATTTTGACAAAGAAAATGGTAGATTTCGACGTAAATCCGACCGAGTGGGAAGACTCTGAAAAGGAGAACGAGTGGTCTTTCGCGTCGTTCTTTTCCCCTCCAGTTGTTAAGGCTTTTACTACTAGTTAGACTCTTTGTCCTACGTATTACGTAATAAGAAAACATTTAGAAAACAAGTAATTGCAGTTGATATTTAGACGTATTTTGTATTAATTGCTTGCTGAATTGCACAAATTGATCTTTCCTGAATAAATTTGTTAACCTTCATTAAATCTGAAACCTATACATCACGATTAAATCAAGTTCCTGTTGTTGAGTTGTTTCATTTCAATTGACAAATTCATAACAGAATGACATCAACAGAATAGATTGTTTGTGTTGACGCAAGTTTGCCAATTTGTTCTTAGACGGACTGCTCCGAATATCCTGGCACGATTCTGCTTGGATTCCCGTTCTGAATGGGACCAACGTGCTGGACTACTTTTCCGAACGGAGCAACCCATTTTATGACAGGACATGCAATAACGAAATTGTTAAAATGCAACGGCTCAATGTCGACCAGTTGACGTAAGAATAAAGACACGGATAGTGGGTGGGAAAAAAGTCTGACATGCATATTTTTTTTCTATTTCCAGGAACATGACCGGTTTGGAATATATTTTGCTTCACGTCCAAGAGCCGATTTTATATGTAATAAGGAAACAGCACAGGCACAGTGCTGGGGAGACCACGCCCATTGCGGATTACTATATTATTGCTGGAGTTGTATACCAAGCACCAGATTTGGGATCAGTTGTCAACTCCAGACTGGTACAAAATGTCATCTAGCTCTTTAGGGATTAACTTTTAAAGTTGCGTTAAATGATTATATGTTAAAATGCCTATAAATATTCCAGCTAAATACTGTTCACCATCTACAGCAAGCATTTGATGAATGCTTGTCCTACAGTCGCTACAACCCTTCTAAAGGCTATTCGTGGGAGTTCAAGGATAAGCAGGACCCCATGGACGAGAAGATGAATGCCAAGAAGAAGGAAAAGAAGGAGGAACCAAGCTCGCTGTTTCAACGGCAAAGGGTTGACATGCTGCTTCTCGAACTGTCCAAGAAATTTCCCCCAAAACAGTTTCAGATTGAGGGTGTTCCACCTCCACAATCCAAAGCAACAGCAGCACAGCTCCCATCAGGGTCAACTGGTAAGTAATACTGGTGACTTATACATATATGCAGCTATAAAATTTATACACTTTTTAGAAAATGCTGCGACGGCGGCAACCACCACGACTGATGCAAATCCCAAACAGATAACAAACTCATCCGAATCTGCCCCAAATTCCAATCAGAACGTGGATACGAACCAAGACGTGAAACCAGATATTTCCCTAATCAAGGTCAAAGTTGAAAAGGGCGATGGTGCAGAAAATAGTGCACCACAAATGAAACCACCTCCAGAGAAAAGACAAAAGTTGTAGGATATTTATAATGTAGAGTAATATTCAAGCTCAACTTTGTTTAGTTCTACTCTATATCAATTACTTTATTCTATTTTGAACATTGAGGGTGTAATTATTTAATGTATTTATAATTAAGATCTCATCAAAGATTTACATAAAATTACACAATCCTATGGTCGTGCTTACTCTTAATTCAATATAATAACAAAAAGGTGTATACTATTTACAATATCGATCAGCCTTCATCTTTGATCTCCTATCCAGAAGGGATTCATGCAGCGTTCCTTCTTCCTTCGCCTTTTTGACACTCTCCAAGTCCTCCTCACAAAGTCGCATCTTTTTGTCTTGAAATTTTTGAAACTTTTTTACATAGTTTAGCTCAATATCTTTCACAGAACCGCATTCTTCTTCTCCTGGAACCTCAGCACCAGTACGCTCAACTTTTCGTTCTACGATACATCTGCATAAAATAAAACAGATATAGATACCGATATTTTCTTGTGTTTTCGAAAACGATTTAAATTTCGAAAAATACCTCAGCTTTATAATTTCAGATGGTCCAGCCTGGAAAAATTACACATAAAAATATGAATTAACGCTGAAATTGTGAATTGTATTATAAGATTGTTAAATTAAAAATTGCATTTGTATACCTTTCGTGATTTGCAGACTACACTCTCTTCTACTGGATCAATGGTCATAAAATGGCCAGAATTGCTGAGTAAAGCCATCTTGCCCTCTTCAAAAACGACTTCCCATTGTTCTACCGCCCCCACTGCGTCACTACGACCTACGACACCTCCACCCTTGTCGACACCTAAGTAAAATCATAGGTAATATTAATGTCAAAATTAATTATCAGATTATTGAATTAAATGTTGCATTTGCATACCCAAATACTTGCCATAACCAGACTTGAGAGCAATTTTGTCATCGTTGATACGAATTGCAGTGAATATTTCCTCCGGCGCAGGGCCATCGCCATCGTTATGCGGCGCCCCTAGCGTGAAAGTTCCATCGTCCAAGCATTTCACATAAGTGCTGTTCCCAAACTCAATTGCCACTGTGCCGGATATTTCATCAAACTTTGTCACGAACCACCACCCACCTACAAACGATCGTAATCAATTAATTTAATGTTCAACAATGTAATGTGCACTGCTTTTTGTTAGACTATATAACCAATACAACTAAATGATTATATGTCGTAGATACATGATAATACTCACCATGTTTGACCGTATCCTCGAGCACCGCTTGGGCAGCTTTCTTCTCCGCACTGTCACTGGTCGTCGTAGTGGACTTGCGCTTCTTCTTTTTTACTTCCAACAAAGCCTTATTCTTGGACCCCTTCAGCTTCAACTTTGTCCCCTTTGCTATTTGGTACTCCATCGTTTTGCTGGATAACCCACAACTGTTATTCTCTATTTTCAGAATTAAAGGATATTACAAATTGTAACTTACAATTGCAATCGAGCCGAAAGATATGGACCAGTCTTTTGAGATGACCAATTTTTTAGACTTACGAATTTCGAAAGACTGGGATGACAACTGCTGATATCCACAAGTATACTTCTTGATTGTTTACAGAGTTTACTGCGTACTTTATTGAACTATTTGTACTTCACATTACAAATTTCAAAAATTTCTACTTATTGATGTAAAAAAACTCTAAACAGCGGGATTATGATTCAACCCGCGAACTGTCTGTTTATTCATTCAATCGTTCATTTCACAGCCCACACTACTGAGATCGGACTTGTAAATAAAATGTTCCAATTTGAGGTAGACGAACCCGACTCTTCGTCCCTCAAAGATCCCTTCTTGGGTAAGTACGGAACTTTATTCTCATAATTTTAGACCCATCTTTCATGCAAAATCGTTGATGTACTTTGATATGTTTCCAGTGGGCGACCGTGTGCGCGTCTCACAACAGGTGGGCAATGTTCGCTACGTGGGTCAAGTTGAAGGTCATGCTGGTCTGTGGCTGGGGGTGGAATGGGACGACCCCACTCGAGGAAAACACTCTGGCTCCGTTGGCGACCGTGTCTACTTTTCTGTCACCATCCCAAACTCTGCATCCTTTATTAAAGTTGGGAAAGCGGAAAAAATTCACTCACTAAAAGAAGCCTTGTGTGAACGTTATGATCCTGAACTTACTCCGTCCAGTTTGAAATCCATTGAGGATCGGTTATCTAAAAAGAAGCTTGGCTATGGGTGAGTTGAGAATAGTTTAAATATCACTTTTGTAATTGTTTGGATTGTAAACAAACTAATTATTTATTTTTTCTACATGTATGTTTCTGTTTCAGTCAACTCCGCGTCATAAATTTGGGTCATTGCAGCATCACAAGCATAGACCAGGACTGGGGCGAGATTGTAGACCTTTGTCCTCAGCTGCAAGTGCTTGAATTGAATGATAACCTGCTGCAAGAGTGGGGCCCGCTTCTCAAACTTTTCACTGGTTGGGCGAACCGGCTCCTGAGGATTGATCTCAGTCGAAATCCACTCTCACCTCCAACAAACGAAGAGGTCAACCTGTATGCTAACACATTTATCAGGATGGAAGAAGTGATTTTAGGCGGATTGAGATATGGCTGGGAGCACTTTAAATCATTGGCTACAATGTGGCCAATGATAAATCTATTGACGGTAAAAATAATAAACAAAGTGCATATTTGTATAGACAATTTAATGCTCGATACTTAAAATAGGTTCCATTCAATAAAGTGTCCAATCTAGACGGTTTATCCTGCTCCACCACCAGCTTATCCAATCTGATCTCTTTAGATCTAGAAAAGAACGAAATTTCATCCTGGGAAGAAGTGTGTCGTCTCGGTGTTTTACCAAAGTAATCAAGCCAATGCATTCAAACGACTCTAATAAAACATACAAACTATTTTGTCCTGGATCAGATTGGAGTACATCAACCTGACCGGAAACCAATTGACATCCATCCACTTTTCCACAGAGAAAGTGGCTATTTTATCATTGCTCCCCAATTTACGAAGGCTCAACATTAGCGATAACTTTATTGCAGAGGTATTTGCTGAATCTTTGACAATTTGCGGAGATTACTAATATTACTCAAATTCTAACCTTGTTGTCGATTTATAGTGGTCCAGCATCAGCGAACTGAACAAGCTGACCGCACTTAGAGAGTTGAGAATGGACACAAATCCTGTACTTAACAGTTACAAAAGAGCCACAAATCGACAAATTATAATTGCTCGATTGCAGCACATTCAGGTTAGTTTTTTGACTGGTCAGTGTTGAAACACTGTTTTTCAAAAAATGTCTAATAACACAACTTATTATCACTCACTTTCAGAAGTTGGAAGGAGTCGATATTGAACGGCAAGAGCGTCGGGACGCGGAGTTAGACTATGTCAAACTGTATGCAGAAGACTATGCCAAAGTGGGCACAAAAGCAGAATTTATTCAGAAGCATCCACTTTATGTTCTCCTCATGCAAAGTTGGTAGTTTGTTAACATTCCCAGTTTGCCAATTGATTTCTTATAATTAATCTTTTGTTCTAGGACACGGCGCCTCCGAACCTTCTGAACCTGTTAGTGGTCCCAAGTCTAACTCTGCATTTGTCCGTAAGCGACAAGTAAATAAAAGTATTCGAGTGGTAACGCAATTTTTATGAACATTTCTATTTGGATCCTCACGTAGGACTCATAGTTGTAGCGGAAAGTGGAGTCAAAGGAGTGAAGGAGGTTGAAAAGCAAATCATAAAAACAATGACACTACAAAAGATGAAAGCCTTGTTACAACGCACTTTTGGCATACCTCGCGTTCCTATATGCATTACAGTCACCAGTTGCAGGGTATAAAGGCATTAGTGTATATTAAGCATGATGAAAGTATTGACTACTATTTAATAATTAAATATAATGCCCATTTCTAGAACCCAGAAGTGTCCTTTTTGCTGGACAATGACTTGGCAGAAATTGGACACTACTCCTTAGAAGATGGGGACACTCTTCGACTTCAGTGGTGATTGCCTTAATCTTCAACTTAACTGTGGTCACTCCTTAATTGTTAAGTTAAAACCTAACTAAGTAACAGTATTAATGTAATTTATATCACTCTACTCCATCACGTTAGTGTTAATCGCCATGCTGTTCTTCTGTATCATGGCGTTGCGTCGTTTTGTAATGTTGGCCTACTAAGTCATTAATAAATTTCACTCTCAATTTAAAAAAGGTCTGATGACCTGTGTCATTATTGTTGTAGGCAGGGAGGCAGGGACACTACAAGGTCGAGAGGTCATCATAGACAATAATATTAATTAGTCATAGCGACGAAATGAGGATGAAATTGAATTGCAGCCTCCGAGAGTCATGTTGCCCACACTGCACACCATCTGCCCATCGTCCTCGCACTCTCCCAACTCGCCCGTCCAATTCAACTCGTTCGCTGCTGCTCAGCTATTGCCACTTGGTTTGTTGTGGGTTGACTATTCATTTAGTAAACTAACTAAAGTGCCCATCAATTCATTATCAAAGAACAAGCAATTTCTCTTCTCCGCCCCTCCTCCCGTACGCTCAGCTCCACCCAGCCTAACCCACTAAGCAATTATTAGTTTTCCTATTGTGTGCAAATAATCCATCCTCCTATCCATCAAGTAATTCGATACAAAGTAACCCCCAAAGAGTAGTTGGCGACAGTTGGCGTATGGCTTGGTGCTGACTACAAACGAACTAGCTAACTACTAATTGTTATACAAATTAACCTTCCTTCTTGTCCTTGTCATCGTCGTCGTCGTTTGAAATTGATTTCCGACCAGCTTGCAGCGGAATAAATTTATCTCCTTATAATTGCAATCTGGTAAGATAGTTTTCATCAGATTAATATGGATATTGCATCAGATATGCAATATTTATATGCGAGTGTTATTATGAAATTAATCGAGTTACTTGTTTTATTCTTGGAAACAGATCTTGCGCACTTGTTTCATTTGAAGTCTATCCATGGACTCGTCGTTTTTGGACTCTGACGGAAGTAATTCCCATCAATTTGCTCCCAACCTCGGCGATGACTCCAACCCAGGAGGAGGGAGTGGCGAGGGGATTGAATTTGGAAACCCCTACTCATTCACAGCCGACTCAAACTCCAACCCCTTCATCGTTCCTCCCATGGAAGAATTGGGGGGGATAGGAGAGGAGGAAGGTAGTGGTGTTAAGCGGAAGTTGTCAGAAGAAAACGGGGAACTCAATACGGATGCCCAAGTGCTATTGAAAATGAATGGGGACGGTGGTGAGCTGCTGGGTGACAACCTGGGTGGCAGAGAAGGAGATGGTCCGAGTCCAAATAAGAAACCACTCCTCGATGTCCGAAAACTGCTCCCCGATCTAGAAAAGCTGTGGACAGCCGTGGAGAATGACATTAACGATTTCACTGCTTGGACACAACTTCTTCAATACGTGGACTCTGAGGTGAGCTTACAAGAAACTTCTTCTTTCCATTGATTGACGTTAAGTTTCCCTTCTTACTTACGATTTCTTACATTGACACTTTTTTAGAACGAGTTGCTCGCCGCTCGTGAGGCTTATGACGCGTTCCTGGGAAAGTACCCCTACTGCTACGGCTACTGGAAAAAGTATGCAGACTATGAGAAACGGAAAGGATCGGCTGAGGAGTGTGCAAAGGTAACCTTGCTTGACCTCCCCTACTTACAAAACATATTATTATGATTCATAGCTTATAAATCTCATGAGGAAATTCATTTTCTTGTTGTTGCCACTCACCACCCACCCCACGCGCGCGCAGTGTGTGTAGACCATGACCCCTTCTTTGTAGTAGCATCACTCAAACTCACTCACTCGATCGAGTAGTGGAGACCCACAGAGAAAAGTGGCTGAGGGTACTTTCAGAGGCATTACAAAATTATCTATTTTATTATTATTATTCCATTCAATTGGGAACGAAAACAAACGATCCAGTCTCTTTCTAGCGTCTCGATCTTCTCACTCACACTACTGGTTCCTTGTGATGATGATGATGGATGATAATGAATTTGGGGCCGCAAATTTATATGTGTTGATCATCTTCCAATCTCGACCCATCCACTAATGGACAACTTTACATATATTTAAAAATTATATATTTATTTGTACATTTAATCCATTTTTGTAATTCTACATTGAATTGTAATTTTTAATATCAATCCAATTATATCTCATCTACGGTGCCTACATGGTGGACAATTTCCGTTGGTTGGAGGACAAATATCAACTTCTGTGTCACAGCTCAAGTTGTAACTTCCCTTTGAAAATATCAAATGAGTTAATTCGCCCTTCCGTCTGAAGTAAACGCGTGTAGTGGTTATAAAGAAAGTAAATACTGAACTTGATCTTTGTCCGACAACTCTATACTGCTACTGCTAATATGAGAAAGAGAGAAAGAGGGTGAAAGAGAGAGAAAGAAAGATGATGGTGGTGAAGCTGATGAAGGTATGAACATGTGAAGGTACCACTCACAAATATAATTATTACTATCACTATGCAAATTATTCACTAATGTTATGGAGTACCATAGGCATATCAGAACTTCTTACTTGGTTTGATTCACACCTTGTTCTGCTGTACATTTCAGGTTTTCAACCGAGGTCTTAAAGCTATTTCTCTCAGTGTTGATCTCTGGATCCATTACCTAAACTATGTCAAAGCCACGCACGAGACGGAGCCGGAAGTTGTAAGGTCTCAGTTTGACGTTGCCATCACAGCTTGTGGGATGGAGTTCAGGTGAGGAATGCAATTTGTACTACATGTACAGGATGCAGAAAATTAGAATCTTATTAATTTGGTGATCTTTCATGGTTATTCAGGTCAGACAAGTTATGGGAACATTACATCCAATGGGAAAGGGAGAATGAAAACTGGGTCAACGTGCTCCAAATCTATGACCGTCTCCTTGGTACACCAACGCAAAATTACCAAATTCACCTTCAAAAGTATGTCGTTACACTATTTACAAGATTTTACTGTTAATATCCGTGTAATAAGTAATTGTTTTTCTAATTGAAGCGTCAAAGAGTTCGTGAACCAATATAAACCATCCCAAGTTTTAAGTACGGAGGAGTTTGCCGAACTCAAAAACTCTGTAGAGTCATCAAAAACGGAGAGTAGTGAACCTTTGGATGAGGAGGTAAGAGCATAATATTTGTCAACCTTTGAAGGATATGGATTCAATATTTTTGACTCCCATGTTTGCAGGCGGAAACTAATAAAATACGCGAACTCATTGTGGAGCGACGAACGGAGGTGTACAAAAAGAATGAAGTTGAAATTTCATTGAGATGGACATTTGAGGAAGCGGTAAGAAGGCGATGTATTTTACGATGAATGTTTGGTGTGGTTTAATGTGACCCGAGACTTATTATCTTATTCATTTTTGTCAACAGATTAAGCGACCTTACTTCCACGTGAAGCCGTTGGAGAAGGGCCAGTTGAAAATGTGGAAGGAATATTTAGAATTTGAAATTGGAAAAGGAGACGGGAAAAGAATCAAGATTCTTTTTGAGAGATGTCTCATTGCTTGTGCACTATATGAAGAATATTGGATCAAGGTTAGTAGTTATTTGATTATTGATGTGTGTGTGTTGGAATAAATAGATGGAGCAAGATATTACCCTTAACTTTTAATTCATTACGTTTATTTTTGCAGTACGTGAGATATTTAATGAATCGGAACGAGGATGGTTCCATGTTACTCGAAATAGAAGACGTGTTCCGTCGCGCCTGTACTATCCACCATCCAAAGAAACCCTGGATAAATTTACACTGGGCTGCCTTTCAAGAATCACATGGGAATTTCCAAGCGGCCTGCGAGATTCTGAGCAGACTGGATGAAGCCACCCCAGGCTCCCTCCTCATTGCATACAGGCACATTAATCTGGAACGACGACGAGGAAATCTGCTTCAGTGCAAAGAACTATATAAAAAGTTTATTGTGGGAATGAGAAACAACAGCAGTGTAGCCAATTCTGTACATTTGAGTATAAAATATGCCAGATTTCTTAATAAGGTAATCAGCATCAAACCTTACTCAAGTATTTAGCTCGTTTGTTTAAATCATTAATTATGAAACATGTCATTTTCCTTCTTACAGACGTTGGGTGATTATGAACAAGCGAAAGAAGTAAGTTTAATTTAAATCTTGCAATAAATAGTATTAGTATTCAAAGAAGTTAGTATTTTGAAAGGCAATCAACACCTCATCCTTCTCTTTTCGAACAACTAATAATTATTCCCCACGAGTCATTATAAAAAACCTATCAGTACAGCTTTGCTCAGCCCGAACCAGGGTTGATTAGTAAACCCATGTTTGTCAGAATCTTATACTATTTTTCACTAATTCTTGCATCAACTAACATCAGTTGGTATTATTACTTGGCACCAACTACCATGAACAGTAGAGGCTGTTCGTATAAAAATTTCGAAATTCACCCTCCTCAATTCTAATTGTAAGTTTTTTTTTCGACTCCACACTAAATTTTACCTGAATATATAAATTCTTAGAAATCGGTATGGGTATCCCTTAGTGCCCTCTGGTTACCTTTTGCTCATCTTTGACTTCATATAATTTCATGAGAAGCCATTAAGCATCACCGTTCCGAATTTCAGCTTTTTGCGACAATTTATGAAAATCGGTATGGGTCACCCCAACGAGTCCGCGGATATGAAAATTTTACCGATTTCACTTCATATTCCTCCATTACGGGCCATTCGCATCCTTTATGCCAAATTTCAGCTCGATTGAATGATCTGGAAAAATCGGTATGGGTCACCCGTTCGGGTACATCCGGTTGACAAATTTTCCAATTTCACTTCATATTCTTTCATTAGGAGCCACTAGCAACCTCTATGCCAAATTTCAGCTTTCTACGACAATTTTGAAATTTTGGTGCATAATACCCCACCCACTCCGCTGACCCCCCACCGGTCAACCACTGGACCAATGTCGCCCCTCTACGAACTCGAGTTGTGTATTTGCATAGTCTAGATGTGTGGAAAATTTCAAGTCGATCGGATAAGTTTAAAGAGAGTTATCGTCGGACAGACAGACAGACAGACAACACGGGTACATAAGCCCTGGTTCGGGCTAAAAATCAAATTTGTCTCCTTATAAGACAATGTGAGATTGATAAATATTTCGAGACAATACAGAGTCTGTTGAACAGACTGACTGTGAGAGTGAAGATCTTACCATTCTCCTCCTTACCAGAGTGTTGACCTGTTTAATTTATACAATTATTATGTTTTTAAAGGTTCTCCAGAGTTCTATTGATGTGGACCCCAGCACAGGAGCGAGGTGTATCATGGCGCTCATAGACATGGGAATGGAACGCTCTCCCATTGACGACGACCTTATCTTGTCCACGTTCAACACCGCATTGGCAAGTACACTCCCAGAAGAACAGAAGGTTACTTTCGCCCATCGAAAAATTGAGTTCCTCGAAGACTATGGGAAGGATGTGGAAAGTGTAAACAAAGCTCAAGACGAGTTACAGAAACTTGCGAAGGTTATGCGAGAGAAAAAGGCTGCTGCTCCAGCCACCCCGGCGGCTACGACACCAGGCACGGGAGAAAAAACCGGCGAGACAACGACACAGGCGGTGGGAGGAGCACCAGATGGGTCCACAAAACCTGGAACAGATCAGGCACCAGCCAGCACAAACGGAGCTCCGCCTGCAGGAGCGTATGACCAATATGCCTACAGTCAGCAGTATAATCAATATGGAAACTATGCTAATTGGAATTACCAGCAGTCTACCGGATATGGGTATGGTCAACAAGGGTGGAACGCTTATCAAGGATACTATGGGTGAGAAATCCACAATTTCAAAACTTCTCTATTTGGGTTTTTAAATTCTTACTTAAACATTTATTACCTGCTACATTTTAGAGCAAACGATTCGACAACTGGGGCATGAGCAGTCGTCGTTGTCCTTTTCACATCATGTTGTCATCGTTGGATCAAACCCATCCAAAAACTCTCCGTTACTACGTATATTCCATTAAATCCAAAACTTGTAGCGTTATTAGGCGGGTGTATTAAGCATATAATGAACTGAAATGATGTATAAAATTATTTGTTGTATTCCTTGTTTTTAAACATTTTACTCGTAAGTATTACTTGTTGGAGTAGTACAAGAGTCTTTTATGTGGTGATTATATGTATGAAAATTCTTATTGCGATCCTTCCTTCCGATCCCGTATATGTATCTAATAGGAAATTGATTAGCAGTGTTATGTTTTATTTTATATTCATAACTGTATATCTTCCGGGGAAGGGCGTGCATGCATGTCGACCCTGTCGAATCAAATTGTATAAGTGTTAGTCGTTACAAAATAAAAAATTTGTAAACAATATATATATAAATATGCATGATTTTGCCTTCAACGCTGGTAAACAAAATTACAGATTATAAAGTGACCTAATTTATAAATATGCATGCAATTGTCCTCCACTCTTTATCAGAAGTAATAATTGCTATTTCAATTACCATATATTTCTCCTGTACCATGAAAATGATAATAATAATTCTAGACATGCAAGCCCACTTGATTCGACGAATATTATAATATTATCTTGGCATTTTTATTCTTCTCAGTATCTAATCCAGCTATGTGATTAAATTCCAGATTTAATAATAGTTTAATAAATGAGAGCATAAATTAATAATGCCACCGCTTCGACTTTTAATTATTCACACCGGCCGTGTCACCGTCGCCATGATGTCGCAATCGAAAAACTGACCTATTTAGCAGAACTTTCACCACTTTCACCGCCCTCCATAGGGTATAAAAGGAGCTGCGCCAGAAATGTTGGTCAGTCTGCGGGAGGCGCTCGTGGGGGACGGACTGGGTGAGCTCCCCATTGTAGCTGCGCCCTTGGGCCGCCCTGCCTCTCTGGGGAGTCGGGTCCACCCCTGGATTCGGCCAGAGCTCTCTTCCCGTCGGAGGGGTGGTCCGGGGGGGGGGGCAACGCTGCAAGGGGAGAGCCTTACGGGAGGGTCACCTCTCCAATGCTCCTCCCACCCAGCAGACTCACCGGGTGGGGAGCCGGCGGGGCTTGCCAAAAGTGCGGGTGGCGCTTGGCAAGTGAGAGGGACTCTCTACCTCCAACTCTTGGGTGATGGCGCTTTTTAGCGATCTATATCTTTAGCGCTCTTTAGCGAAATATTTAATGGACAGAAGGGTGCTTATTGCATTCTCATTCGACCGACGAAGAAATCGGTGGTTATCCGGCCAATGCCGACCAATATTGCGGTCATAAACACTGTACTTCACCAAACTCTATTCTTAAATTGGGACGATTTTCTTGTTGGAACTCTTAACAGACTCCTTTCAATCCTGCCTGGCTGGATTCCTCTCCTATCTTGTCAAGAAAGTCATAAATAAAAAAGTCTCTTTGTAAATGAAGCTGTGTTTCCTTCTCAGCTTAAAAGCATTCCGACTCAGGTCCAATCAGTAAATACTCAAATAATGCTAATATATGACTCTCTGTGACTAAATTGTGTCTTAATTCTCAGTAAACGCGAGCTTTCCTTCTTTTCCCATGGGTCCCATGATCTTGCCACGACAGAATGCAAAATGAATCCATCGCCGCCCGTCGCCCATCCACTTCTTCACTTACGTTATTACTCCAACTAGTGGTCTGGAACCACTCAACCAGCCATAAGTAATCACATGCATGTTATTTTAGTCCATTCCATGCAAAATTGGAATCTCGCTCCAAAAACCAATATTCTTCATTTGCAGAACAATTTAGCTAAACATGTAAAGCTACCCGGTAGCTATTATTTCCGTGTGAAGTACATTTTACATAAGCATAAGCCATTTTCATTTACTAATGCACTTGCAAAAGGCAAAGTTGCTGTATTGATTATTATGCACTTTGAACAATTGGTAATATTTACTCGTACATACGTAGGACGTGTGATGGGGAATTTACAATGCCAACAATCAATGGAACAAGTTGGTCCGAATTGTTTGGAAGATGACAGTAATTCCCAATGGGGAAAGTTAATTCTAAGGACGTGGAATTGAATTCTCATCATTTCCTGATTCGCATCCATTTGCAATTAATTTAGGCAAGATAAAAATAACGATTGTGCTTATAGGATGTTTGGAACAGTTTGCATGCGTATGTATCTCGGCCAAGCTATGAAAGCTAGGGTAGAACATGATCCAGATTGTGGATAGATGGGGGGCAAACTTGGCCTTAAAACTGGTACAACTAGTCAAATCACTCTCGTTTTCTACAATGGAACCTATAATGCAAAATGTGTAACGTGTTTATGTACATATGTACGCGTACTAAACTCATCGGCAATCTCACTGGAGCTCCAAGTCGTGCAAGTAGCCAATATGTGTGCGAGAGAGGGTGAAACGTTCGGACGGAAGGGCTCCAACAATTTATTCACCCTGCTTTCCAACCCCAACTTTCTCATCCCTCAGATGTTGCTGGATTAGATGAGAGAAGACGAGATGAGACACAAAATGTGTATCGCTTACTCTGCATGCATGCTTCCCGAGAAGACTCCTCCGATATTGGGAATGTTGGGAACACAGTGAGAGTGAAATACATGGGGAGGACCGAGGAGGGTGGGAGGATGAGGACAGCTCCACAAGTTTGAAAAAGACACACATATTGTAGTCCATTGTATTGTTAAAAAAGGACGACTCATGAATCCCGTCGTGAATTCGATGAGACGATGCAGGATTAATGCACGTATTGCAGACCACGTGAAGACGCGCACCGCAATCAGAGAGACGCCTAAAAATCTACTTCATTTTGTCGGATAACTATTCTTCCCCATTTGCTCAGCTCCGTAATGTCAACTATGAACGAAGGCAGCCATCTTCCTCGCAGGACCCCTTGAACCCAACGGAATCCGCAGTAGCCAGCCTCACATGATGTAAGGCATCATTAGTGGAGCTGTTCAGAACGTGCAACTGCAACAATGAGCAAAGGCACAACATCTGAAGAACGGATGGAGGAAGAAATGGATGCCATGCACTACAAGCCGTATCTACCCACCAACAAACAACGACAATCCACCAATTCCATCCACCATGCATGCCGTTCTTTTTAACAGGAGAAGAGCATTACAGAGAGCTGACTACGCTGCATACTCCTCGCAAATGGGGAGCGGATGATAGGATTTGAGGCAAGAACCATTCTTGGTCTTCTTCTTGCTGGGAGCTTGTTGTTGGGGTCAGAACGCCGAGTTGAGTCAGCCCTCAGTCTTGCGTTCACCAGCTCTGGTTCAGCACCGTTCACGAATCTCGCTCACCGTTACCACCACCAGCGTCCCTTTTACCCGCCTTAAGGCCCCTCGCTCACTCTGTCGCCAACGTTGCGTCATCACCAGTGGTTTTACCTCCTACACTTTTCTTCCTTGGTGCTCTTACCGGAACTTGTTCACAGTGTCTTGGATTGTGCTCCGCGATACGATTTTTTAAGGATTTCACTCTCTCGAGCTAAACGAGGTACGCACAACAAACTTTTTTCAATACCGGCTTTTTCCACAAGTGCAGCTTGCTTTGACTCATCCACAAATTTCTCTACATGATTCACACGCCATATATGTGCATAATAGTCGGCATGCATAATAGCCAATAATTCATATTTTTTGCATTGCAACAAAAGCATGCTTCCACCTCTGACCCCGAATTTTGGGAGGAACTGGTCCATTTTTTGTCCACATTTCACACTTCCTTCATGCTCAAATAGTAATACAAAGTCGTGATACTATAGAAGAAGAAAGAAAAAAAATCAAATTACTCGTCTTATTATAACGACCAACATAAAGGAGAAGATGAATAGGATGAAATCATGCAAAAAAGTGCAACAGTTACACATACAAATATCCTTCTTCCTTCCTCCACTCTGTTATGTAACGAACGACTACAATGACTCGATTTTTTGTTCTGCTGTTGGCCAGATAAAAGTGAATCATCAATTTTTCACATCCATTGGCGTGAATCATCTTTGCTGTGAAATCAAGTTCAACATCTCATCATCATCATCTGTCTCACCAACTGTCACTCTTATTAAGCGAGGATCATTCTGAATAGAAAAAGACACTGCCATGCCACACAGCTCCTTTTGCACCACGACGCCTTGAGGGAAGCTTTCCGCTCAAGACTTTTTCCACTCCTAGCTTCTTTGCAACAAAAGGCAGAAAAATCGGATTTATTCCTGCTCTTGCACCACGCTCGTCGGTTTGTTTGTCTACCAATTAGTTCTGTAATGGGATAGTTCTAAGGTTGGTTTGGACATGGCGCACCATGAGTGAAATGAATCCTAATGAGCACAAGCAGTAGTGGGTATGGAATAAAATGCATAGAAAACAGAAGTGGAACTGTTGCCGGAACAGCTTTTCCTTTATTTGAGGAGCTTTATTAGTTGGGAGTTTGGGAGGGATGAGAGAAATGTGATGGACTCACAAGATTGGGTAGGAGAATCAGAGGGAGAGATACTCAAGTAATAAAACTTTTATTAACTTTTATGGGGAACTGACAAGAAGTTTGTAAATTAATTTTTTGACTCTTTGTCAGATTCTGTTTGAAGAATTAAAATGATGACGGAATTATTTATACGTTTTTTCTTGGCTTGACTGGCTGACCACTTTTTCTTGAAAAAAACCAGACCCACCAAAAATGAGAATAAGTTGAATCTGGACTGGAATTTCCTTGTTCAACAGTCACTGTCAATATAGCTATTCTTGTCAGGGTTCAATTTTAATGTCCTGTGAATGTGTCATCCCCCAAAAACCAGTCACTTGTCGTCGTCTGCGTCTCCATCATCGTCGTCATCACCACTTAATCCATTTAATGTTTAATCATCATCGAGTGGAAGAGGCAGAACAATTGTGCCTTTTGTCTTTGAATCCTGATCTGGATAAATGGGAATATTGTCTTTAAATCCATCCGTTTTCCGTATTGATCCTTTACTCACTCACTCACAAGCAGAATTACTTGAGAGAGAGACTGGCCAGATTTTGTCCGTTTGAGATTGTGACAAGAGACGTGACAAGTGAAATGAAGTGATGCATGTTATGGTATTGAGAATAATATGTGTATTTTGAGCAGGTTGGTTTGGTTGGTGAGGGTGAGGAATAAATCGAAGCATTATTATTTGGAAGTTAGGAGGAGCGGAGAGAGGATAAGATTTCCTGAGCCGAGGAGTTTTAGGGATTTGAAAGTTTGTATGGCGAGTGAGACTGGTCCGGGTCTGGTTGATGTCGAGGTGTCATTGTCACTCAGTCTTCAGACATTTTCAGTAAGTGCTTTTGGGAAAATCTCGCATCTTGAAATAGTCAATTTCCCATATTTCAAACATTACCATTCCACCCATTTATTTGAGCAGGACACGAAATGAGAGAGAACTGTCAACCAGTATACGATCAACCGTTACATATTCCCAGCGTACTTATGTATACCACACCAAACTAAGTCACATATATCATGTTCCTCTACAATGTGGTTTGGTTTTGGGAGAAATGTGTACGCATTCAGTTATGAATTCCATCCTTAAAAAAATTATGTACAAAGTCTCACACTCGTTGGATTTAGGACAATGAGAGTGAGTCAGAAGAACCAGACATGCTCAACCTTTATTCGACCACACCATTATTACTGATCCTCCCCGTGTGCACCACTACCTGATGAATTCCACACCAGAAAGATTAAGATACTTTAGATTTGTCGGGTTACGCTTTTTTGTTGTAACCTTCCTTCCAACCAACCCCGTAAAAAATGACAATGCGCAACACAAGAGAATTCCTCCACATGATAAGAACGAGTTAACTGCTTGGATTTGTGTGGAATGGGTAACGCTACAAGGGAATGTGCTTTGGCTATAAGCAGTTATTCAAATATTGAACCAAGTACATATCAGGTACAAAGAGCATTGTGGTTACATTTTTACTGTAAATCGACGCTTCTTTGGTGTTTTTTTTTGTAAAAAGCTTGCAAATAGCAAACTATGTAAACCTACGGTTTTTTTGCAAACTAAAAATGAAAATTAGCAGCCAAACAAATCGTTTCCTTCCTTCCCAGCTACCATGCGTACGTATGCAAGGGCACAAGTACATACGCAAAGGCATTTGCAGAGATCCACAGAGCAGATAGAAGTCGAGGAGTCGTGGCTTTGTAGAAAATTGCACAGATGGGAAGTTTAGCGAGGAGATTAATCAACACATTGTTAAAGCTGATTCCTTTGTCTCGAGCCATTACTTGCTGACTCCATTCGATTATGGCCAAGTCGCCCGATGTGGCATTACGTAACGGGAACTGTCACAGGAATCGTTTCACACTTTTTGTCCGCATTTCTCAATAGGCAAAAGAGATCTCTCTCTACAAATTCTGCATGCCTGTAAATACGAAAGATAAAGCCACATCAACTTAATTTACTCTGCGTCATCGGGGGAAACGACCAAAATGCATTGTAATTTTAAAAGCTCGCTTTTCACAAGATGCACTTGACTCTAAATGGCCATGTAAATTGAGCAAATCGATGTTTCATTGTTATTCCCAAATTTTCAACCTCCCTCAACTCACCAACTGTCATTTTCAATGCAAATAAGGAGTTTGTGTCAATTAAGAAGAGTTTATCTCCGCAATCCTGGCTTTCAAAGGGTTGCAGTTGGAAAGAAAAGAGGTGAATTGAAGAGATTTTATCCGTTTGTACAACAGCCAATCGTCGAGTGTAAAATGTCGAAAGTCGGAAGTTGTGTAAAGCGAGCGTTAAGAAAAAAAATAGTAAACGGCTCGGCGGTAAGCATCGAGGACTGTACACATAGTTGAATGCGGAGGTTAGAGAGCTGGGCTTATCGAGTATCGACATATCAATTACGCCCGCCCGAAGAGAGGATGCACTCTCAATTGACTCTGATATTTCTTGACTTTATGTATTTGCTCGTGTGGCGGACGCGTTTTGAAAAGTTGGACGACGAGCGCAAAGTTCAATGTTGTCTCGCGTCGTAAAATGATGATACAAAAGTTGCTGCTTTCAAGTACTGTTTGCTCAAACCCTCCTCCATCCACCACTACAAATTTAAGTGGTGTGAGACGACAAAAGTTTTTTCAGAGACCACGAGAGATCAAAACTGTACACGACATGAGACGATGCGGTTACATACTTGAAGCAGCCTGCGCTTTTAATTATTCCTCAAAGAATCTCCCCAACTTTCTCGAATACTTTTCTGCCTGCATGTTCAGAGGAAAATTTATGCACGCATCCGACGCGAGGTTTCATAACAGTGGCAAAAATTTTCAACTCTGACAAACTCGTTGGTCTAGGATGATTTTCGTGATGAGACGATAATGTCGGCTACACATTAGATAAAGGTGCCGGCTAATCATAATCCGCTAATGGCAAAAATTAACTCCTCCGTCAAGCACCATCCGTGTATTCCGACAAAGTGACTTTGCACTTGAGTTTGACAAATGACAGAAATCTTAATTTTTCTGGCTGTGCATTGTAAATAAGCTGAGAAATTGTAGCCTGCTACTGGGCTTACTGGGCATACATACTTGGGCGAATATTTATTTGTCCTGGTGCAACCTGTGTTGTCAATAACTGGAAATATGAGAAAATGCAAATGTAACCGAAATGCGACTTAACAATGCGACTTGGAGATCAGTTTTTTTAACTTGTGTGATTTGAATGTAAATTACTCAAGTTTTTTATATAGCCTTCTGCTCTGCAAGTTGGGTGATGGTGCTTCTATCACATCATGTATTGTTATCTATAATTAATTTTGTTTTGAATTATATGCACGAATTAGATTATTTTGTAACTGGCTGCACTGATTCGCTCTTCGATATCGTTCTAATTATTGAGAACCTACACAGTACACACACTTCTTCGCACTATAATAATTTGCCTGTTTTTACGCACTCGCTCATGTAGTCTCATCGTGGAAAAAACGCGATGAACCAGTGAGACCAGTTATTACTTGGTCGTTAATACGTTGTTGTTGTTGTTGATCCGAGAATTTGTGGGAATTAAACATTTTTGGCGTATGCATTCATTCATGTTTACACATTGCGGAATTTCTTTGAGGCGAACATGTAAACATTTCATACAAGAAAAGTCCACGTATCAACTACAACGTCGTTTATATGCACAAGTAATTAAGGTATGTGTCATGGTGGTGGCAGTTGTCACTACGCACAAGCCACAAAAAAATAAACGTTCACATGTATGTCATTTTTTTCTGCTACGCGATGACGATTGATTGAAAATGGTCAACACATTCCTGCGACATGAGTCACCCAAGAATAAATATGTAAGCAGAACTAAATAAGACTTTGCCAACCCTCATTTAATTCGACTCTGTTTTTATGTCAGCATGGGTAATTAAGTGGCATTAGTGGCTGTAGTTTTAAATAAATATGACATTAATAAAAATGAATGGCTCAAAGTATTTTACGAGGTCCAGCCAAGTCTTTATCTTTATGTGACTTTTTCGTCCAAGTAC